TGGTCTCTGGGAGGAGGTGGGTCTGGGGCTGGACGCCTGGGTTCTCCCTGGCTCTGGGAGGGGGTGGGGCCGGGGGCGGCGGCTCTGGGAGGAGGTGGGGCTGGGGCCGGGGCCGGACGCCTGGGTTCTCCCGCTCTGTCCCCACAGTGCCCGGGCGGCGCCTTCACCCCGGGACTGGGCTCCACGCGCGAGTTCCCAGACGAGCTGGTGATGTTCGTGCGCTCGCACCCGCTGATGTACGACCCCGTGTACCCGGCGCCGCGGCGCCCCCTGCTGGTCCGCGCCGGCCTACCCTACGGCTTCACCACGCTGGCCGTCGACCTGGCCCAGGCAGCCGACGGGCGCTACGAGGTGCTCTTCCTCGGTACCGGTATGCCGGACGCCTGGGTCCCATCCCCGGCGGGGAGCCCGGACGCCTGGGTCCCATCTCTGGCGTGGTGGGGGAGGAGGGATGGGTGCCCGGACGCCTGAGTCCCATCCCTGGCCTGGGTGGGGGAGGAGGGATGGGAGCCCGGATGCCTGGGTCCCTGGGGGGGGGCAGTGGCTCCCCCATCTCAGGTGCTCTCTCCCCTCCCCCCTCAGACCGGGGCACGGTGCAGAAAGTGGTGGTGCTGCCCAAGGACCCAGGTGTCCTGGAGGAGCTGACCCTGGAGGAGGTGGAGGTGTTCAAGGTGAGAGGCCCCGCCCCTGCTGTCCAGGCCCCGCCCCTTTCCTCTGGGCCCCACCCCCTTTTGTTCCACCCTTCCATCTTAGCCCTGCCCCTTCCCACCAGGCCCTGCCTTCTGTGGCTCCTCCCCCTCCCTCTAGGCCCCACCTCTTTCCCTGGCTCCGCCTCTCCCCCTCTCCAGTGGGTTCACCGCCCCTCCCTTCTCCCCACAGACCCCCGCCCCCGTGAAGACTCTCTGGATTTCGTCAAAGCGGGTAGGTCGGGGGCAGGGCTACCACACCCAGAGGTGCCATGGTCTGGCAGGGGGGCTGGGGGCCCGGATGCCTGGGTTCTCTCCCCGGCTCTGGGAGGGGAGTGGGGGCTGGTGGTTAGAGCAGGGGGGGCTGGGAGCCAGGA